GGGCGTACCAGAAACACATGAATACAAATGTTCCGGCTCAGGACTTTTGTATGAAGAAACAAATAAATAACATTTTTAATGCATAAAAATCTACAGAAGTCAAAATTAGTGCATTTGTTTCCCAGTCAAACAAATGCATGTATGCTGGCAATGTATGCCATGTCTGCATTTGCCAGATGCACTTTGTTCGTGTCCACCTTTAATTTTATACTCAGAGTTCACTAAAACCAGATATGTCTAATTCTTGTGGAGTAAATCTACCCTTACAGGGTGAGGTAACTGGGCCATTTTTTAAAGCAAGGAAATCTTAAAAAACTAAGAGAAAATGAAATTGGCACTGGGAATAAAACGTCAAATCGGTGCATCTGTTTTTTTTTAATATAAAAATAAATGTTCCAACTTATCCAGACTTGTCTTTTTCTCTACATTCATGCATTAAAAATGTTATATAACATGAAAGGCCCCAAAGCCCCCGCTGGCAGCGCCCCTGCAGGAGATGGAACCAAAGTTCCCCATTCCTCCCGCTGCGGCTGTGCTACCTGATAGAAAAACCATTTTCCCCTCAACAACAACTTCAGTAATTTCCCCGCGTCTAAAAACGTACACAGCAGTGCATGTTGGGAGAAAGAGTCAACTGCAAGGCCCGGACAAAATTACCATCATTATCCATAACCATAAACAAGCCTGATGATGATGATGATGATGGTTTTAACAATAATAATAGCAATCCAGGCTGAGTGCTTTTTCACATAGCAGTGACAACATTAGTCACACCGGCAGCAGAGAAATGAAAGGCTCGCTGCCTTGAGAGCTCCCCTTTGTTGCCGCTGCTGATGGGGCAAATTGGCAGGGAGAGCCGGCAGACGGGGTCCTTAAAGACGGATGTAAAAATAGTGGGCTGTCGATTTGCCCGCTGCGCTGGCGCAGCTCCAAGCCAAACAACATAACAGGAGTTGAGGAATAACAGGAAAAGGGAGAAGCCGTGGTGAAAGTATGGCCCGGGTTCCTGTCACTTAGCGCAGGTCACACCGAATGTCACCTTCCTCCGCCTGCAGGACGGGCCGAGACAATGTCTCCGCCATATGGACCGGCAAGAGAAACGCCTCTAATCTGGGATTACCCAGCATGCCGGTGGGCTGGTCACCCGAACCAGGGCTGCTGCCGCCGCAACGAGTCGCACAAACCGGTGACAGCTGCTGCATTCCTGTCATATCAGAGAGAGAGAGAGAGTGTGTGTGTGTGTGTGTGTGTGTGTGTGTGCGTGCGTGTCCCCTCATTAGTCGGCGGTGGGGTGTTGACATCCTGAGCGGCTGCCTCTTCAAACACACACTTCCTCCTCACACCGGCAACTTTTCCTGAATGCAGGAAACTGCCCAGAGACAAATGACTGAATGTTGGGTTTTTGTTTTAAGGAGGAGGAAAAGAAGCAGAACAAGGTTATTGTTATTATTATTATTAAAACTTTATTTAACCAGATAAAAACCCACTGAGATCAAGATGTCTTTCACCAAAGTGACCTGGCCAAGACAGGCAGCAGCAAACGTCAAATTAGACAAGTAAGCAGAATTAAGAAAAATACATTAGGATTATAGAAATGACAATGAAAAGCAGTAGTTGTGACAATACTAATATAAAAAAAATATTTCAGATATTTTGCAGCACAGCAGCAGAAAGTCTGTGATGCAGATGATCCACCCTCTCCTTATTAAAGCTACATTCATGTCTGAGTCTCACATTTTTTAAAGTAGAGATTCACCAATCAGGCTTTTCTGCTCTCAGCTGATGATTCTGATTTTTTTATTGTTTGTTTGTAAAGGTTAAGGAAACCTGATGTCAGTAGTTTTCAAATGAACATCTTGTTGAAAACTGCTTAGATTTGTAAACATTAACTGTAGAAATAGTCTGTGTTTCTGCTGTAGTTATAATTGTGTTATTTATATATTTCTGTTAAGTGAATTAGCTACAATCTGCTACAGCACATCAAATTATGACATTTATAGTAATAAAGTTTATTACTACTATTACTAAAGAAAACCTTTTGCTTTTAATATTTTCCTGTGTGTTTATAGTTCCTATTGTTATTATTTTTAATCTTTATTTCTGTACAGCATCTTGAAAATGACTTTTTAGTAAAATGTTTGATTGCTATGAATATTAAGGGCTTCAATCAGAGAAGCTGCATGCTGCTGCATGATGCATTTATTGACTGAAAAGGCTGGGATTTCTGAGCTTTGATGCATTTAGAGATTAGGAGAATTTCAGGTTTTTCCGTTTTTGACACACCAATCACAGATCAGAACTGATCAAAAGGTAAAACTGTCTGATTAATTGGTGCATTAATTAATCAGACAGACATAAAGAACAAATGTTGTTCCTGAAACCTGCAGGAGTGAAGCTCAGACGATGCAACGCTGCTGCAGGAGGCCAACACGACTCTCATGAATGCATCTGTGCGTCTCGGCGGCCACGCCGGCGCGTCTCCTTGGGACAAACAGGAAACAGCTGACACGCAGCCCTGCAGCGCAGCTCACATGATGCGTATTGATCACTGTTTGCCCCCGGGTCTCACATGCAGAGTCAGGGTCAGCGCTCACCCGTCCTGCAGGGCATCGCTGCACAACTGCAGAGGCTGCAGCATGACCCCAAAATGCACATGATCAGAATATTTACCCAAGAAGAAGAGATGCTTTTTCTTCTTTAACGGGAGTTTAAACGAAGGACAGCGATGGCGCAGTCATTGGATAAAGTTTAGCTGTAGCTGGTGCCTGGCTAAACACAGCATGAATGGGACTTTGTGCATCCTCCACTTTCACTAAGCTTGGTGGCTTCTTAATAGGGCAAACATACTGTACTGCAAAAACACAACATCTTAACAAGTATCTAGTTTCTAGTGCAAATGTCTGCATAGCTTGTGATGTTGGTTGATGCACTTCTGTGCTGAAAATGGAGGAAATTCTCAGTAAATTTAGATTTTTCATCATTTAAAATGCAGATTTGAACCTCTGGTCATCTTTTGATGCACCTCTCACCAGCATACCTTGTTTTGTAGTTCATGTCTTCTATTTTTGAACAGTTGACTCACTCAGCCTTTTCACCCAAATATGTGATAAAATAATCACATATTTGAGTTATAAATTTACAGTATTTTAATATAGTGGGTAATTAATTTGGCTTCATTTTGCTTCAAATATTCAAAAACACAAAATCTTACAAAGTGAAATATGACACAACAAACTTGTGGAGTTTATTTTAAGTCAATAATTATTTAATATTGATGAAAAAGTTTTAGTTACACTGGGAGATAATTTCACTTTTAACATGGGAAAAATGTTTTGTTATAAATGAAATGATCTGTCAGTGGAACTGGAACTTTTTCATTGACTTATAACAAGCTCTTACATCTTAATAAAATGCTGCTTTAACTAACTTAAGTTAGTTTTGTCTTATTTCAGCTGTACACAGATATTTGCACTACAAACTAGAGCAGAAATACGTGGTAAGATTTTGTGTTTTTGCAGCTTGAACATGAGAATCCTGCAGTCAGATTCAAATGGTGCAGAAATGGAAGATGTTGCTAAGACGGCGTTTCTCCGTCAGGTGCCACAGCAAACAGTCACCAACTTCCTTTCTGCTGTCAGTATGTGCTTTTAAAAAACACAACAGGAATCACTTCTCTTTCTGCACAGAGAGGATCCTCAAACCAGGTTTATTTTGCATTTAAGTTCTGAAGTGTTTTTGTATTTGAGATGCAAAAGAAGAAGAAGAAGAAACGGTGAGAGACAGAAGAAAAAGAAGGAGTAGTAATGGGGGAAGTGGTGCATGTCTTTCCTGCAAATCTCCTCTTTCACCTCTGCTCTCCTCCAGCTCTCCATCAGGCCAGCCAAGAGACACTTCACCTCGCACCCGCACACACATGGAGCCTGAGCCAACACACACGCTCGCACTCGTCCTCCAGCATGCGCACACACACACACACACACACACACACACACACACCACTGGCATCTGACTGTTGAGCCACCCACTCAGAAAAATAAATGGCAGAAGCGGAGACACGAACGCCTCGACACCAGATGCGCGCACGTATAGACATCCATATGCTTCGAGTGCAACGACCCATCAAAGACAGACATGGAAATAATAACAGTCGAATGTAACCACACACACACACACACGCGCGCGCACATGCACACACACGTTCACTCACTGTGGATAATTCTGCACATATGCATCAAATCACTGCCTTCTGAGGCCAGCTCTGCAGGAAAACAGCAATGCATAAGCAACATGCAGCACTCCTGTACCGAACACTGTAAAACAAGCTGCTCTCACACACTCTCACACACACACACACAGACGTGCAGCTATAAGTCTATTAGGGTGTTAATAGGCAGATTAGTTTGCACTGTGATCTGCGCTGAAGAGGATATTATCCTCCTTGCTTCTTTCCTCAGACAAAACAAAGCAGAGCTTTTCCACAAATACGTCTGTCATCACGCTCTAAAGAGCGATTAATGCTCTCACTCAGAAAACACACAGCAAGCGGAGCAAAACGCGGCTAAAACCCACGTCTGAGTAGCAGAAAAAAATGGTGACACAAGACAACTGAAGGAGTAAAAGACAGGTGGGAGCGAATGACGTCTGAAAGTCAGTGGGTGTATTTTAAAACAAAAGCAAGCAAAAATTTAAGCAGTGAAAAAATACTGATAAGAGCAAGAATTGGGTTAAAATTATAAGTGTATTCTGATTTTAATTAGGCAAATATTTTCAACTTTTCCATTTTCAAATAAGCAAAATAAAAAATGTTCCAGACAACAAGGAAGTTTAAAGCTTAAATTTAACAGCTGGAGTGAGAAATGCACTCAGAGAAGTTTGTAGTGAATTATAATAATTACATTAAAAACTTTTGCATTTTCTCTGCTTGCATTAAGTGGAGCTGCTGGGTTTCACAGTGAGAGTCTGAAGGAAGCAGACAGGAGTAAATTCTGGTGCCACTGTACCTCTTCCAGGTCTCGGCCCATTGTCGACCTGTCGCCCTTCAAAGGAAGCCGCGTTACTGCACCCTTTCAAAACAAAACAAAAAACAAAAAAACAAAAAAAAGGAGACTCTAATTTAGATTTAGCTTTAGACTCAAAACAAGCACTTAATTTTAATTTTATTTTATTCTTGTTTTTTTGACGGAAATGTGCTGCGCCTGGGTGGCATCACCAGACCTGCAGGTTGGAGGTGAAGACAGTTTTTTTTTTCTTTTTTACGAGCCCCTTAAAGCCTGATGCTGGTTCCCACGTTTTCTCCGACACTAAGCGGAGAGGAAAACAAAAAAAAAAAAGCAAAAGGGACGCGGCCTCCGGCTGCTGTTACTGAGGAAACATCCCTGATGAGCCAATTAGGCCCGTGGTAGCGCTTATCTGCGGGGTTTCTAACGCGCAGGGGTCGATATTCAGAGCCACGCATGTTGCGGGTAAATTAGGGCTCCGAATATAATCTCTGCGTAATGCCTGGGAAATAATTAAACTCACAGCAAATTTTTGTAATTCTTCTGTGTGCTAAAACAAATACGAAAGTTTTATTTTGCTGCGTAAAATGCGCACAGATGTCAGAACAAAGCTCATAAACCAGGCAGCATTTATCGAGTCTGTTTAATTGATTTCTTTCAAACTGCACCTTGTTTCTGCGTTTCTGTATTTAGATTGCGGGGGATGTTTATTCCCTGCTTTAAAAAACGATTTAAAAACCTCACCGAGGCCTTGAGCTGGAGACATTAATTATTCTCATTTCAGAAGACGCCTCAGTTCGAGCTTTTTCCGGGTTTCACGTACAAAATATACATAATAATAAATTAGAAAGAAAAATGAAAATAATGCAGGTGGATGGGATGGAAAAACACAAGAAAAATTATTCTGCCTCTTTTTTAATTTTGCTTGTTTTTAACAATACACCAATTTTGTGTTCACATATTCTTTAAATAAATATTATCTATAATATAAAAAAGGAAACATTTACAATATTTGCACTTTACTATTACAGAATTTAAAAATGAAATAAAACGTAATATTTTCTCCTGTCGGTTGGAAGGTTTGGAAACACCGCGAGGTGGGAAAAAAAAAGTAAAGTGAAAACAGACTTATCGATTAGTTATTAAAAGATGGGGTGATCTGGCACCTGCTGCAAACTACAGGAAGGATCGATGATTTTTTTTTTTTATTGACATCGAAGTAACATTTCTCCATCTCCAGTCTTGTCACATTTTTGGAGAAGTCCTGTCAGATGTTTGGATTTCTGGCGCAGCCGCGTCTCTCCTGAACTCACCGCGCTGCGCCGACTTCTTCCTGCGTATCGATCACATCTAATCCGGCCTAACGAACTATAAAACCCCGCGCCACCCGGCTCTTCTTTACAGGTTTTCTCCCTCTCTCTCTTTCTCTCTCTCGCCCGGACACCCCAGGGGTGCGCCAGGCTCCGCAAACACAAAGTCATTATCGCTTAGATTCCAATAAGGCGAGTCTGTCAAGGAACGAGCTTCCTTCGGAGAATTTATGTCAGAGGATATCTTCTAAGTGATGCGCGGAAGGATAAATAACAGCGAGTCCCACAGCTGATTACATTGAAACAACGATGCGCGTTTGTGGAGAGGAAGAGGGGGGGCCCCAGCAGATGCGGAGCGCAGGGGCCCATCCACCTGCTCACACCGGCAGAATGGGGGACAACAGGCTCTACCACCCACACTTCCTCATATATATAAATAAGCTATTTTATTCATACGTCTGTAGGTTGGAAAGTAATTTAAAACTGGATATTGGTGAAATTCCAGCATTAATTCCAGTTATCAGACTGATAAAACCGTGTCGGAATTATTTTATTCCTGATGTGATAGTTGCAAGGTTAAAAAAAAAAAAAGCGAGAAGATTAAATGAAAAGTTTCCTCATTTCCAACGCAGAAACTGTTGCGCAAGAGCCGCAGCGGCCTGGTGTGTAACAGCGTGCGCTTGGTACGGCGGAGCCTGCAGGTCCCGCAGTGATTAACTGCAACCCTAACAGGCGCGCACGACCCTCACCGGCTCCCCTCACGCGCGTGCGCGACAACTGAAGCACACAAACACACTCGCGCGCGCGCGAGCACTCACAAAGGTCCGACTTCTCCCCTCATTCCTCTCCTCCCTTCTTTCCTCCGACTTTTTATCCAAAATGAGTTAAAAATAAGTCTGGAGTCTCCCGGCTCTGGCTGCAGGTTTACACCTGGAGTGGAAAATAAAAAAGAAAGGCAGCAGAGGAGTGAGAGGCAACCGGGGGAGAAATGAGCCGTGGTCCGGGTTCGGGAGCACCTTGCGTCGGCCGCAGGAAGGTGAGGAGCCGGTTCAGAGGGGGGAACCTGCCGGAGCTGCTACCCGCTCTGAAGGCTCCAAAACACGGATAGAAACTCCGCTTACTCCGCAACTGATGGAGACTTTAAAAGCAATTGAAATCGGATATAATTTCTACATAATTTTTTAAAATATATTTAGTGAATTAAATAAAATAAAAGAAGTCCATGCATTCAGCAGGAAATAAAATAAATACTTTCAGCACTGATTAAAGATCCAACACTTTCCAGGAGCAAAAAGTGGAAGATAACATGTAAACACACAGACACACACGCACACACACACGCACACACACACACGGAGGGATGGAAAAATGAATTTTCCCCTCCTGGACCGACAGCGGACGTACCTGCTGGGACATTCTGTAGAGGAGGTTGCTGTCAGTGCTCTGCTGCTGCCATGTCCCCATGAAGCCCGGCTGCTCGGCGCTAGGCGGTCTGGTGCTGAACTGCATGGAGCTGCCTGCTCCCTCAGCACTGCTAACAATGCTAACACCACCCTGACCACCACCACCGCTGCTGCTGCTGAGGCTGGGGTGAGTCCGGCTGCTGGACGGGATGCTCACACCGCCGGTGGGTTGGTTAACCTGAGCCGGAGGAGGAGGAGGAGGGGGCGGCCTGGGCGACTCCGGGTCTCTGCTGGGCTCTGCTGGGACTGGGTCGCACTCGCTGCTTCTCACATCCAACTCTGCCTCCTTGGACTTGGACAGAAGGAGGAAAGAGGGAGGACAGGAGGGAGGGAGGGAGGAGTGTGAAGGAGGAGAGAAGAAAAATAAGTCAGCGAAGGTGGGTTCTTTTGGGGTCGTGTTGTCTTTGAGTTTTTTTCTTCTTTTTGAGGAGAAGTGTGTGTTTGAGAAAAGAGGGTGAATCTCCTCAGGGGCCTCCTCATCTTGGGGGAGGAGAAGGAGGATGATGAGTGTAGGTGAGGAAGGTTGGAGAGAGGGATAGAGGGGCTGATGAAAAGCTGAGCAAGAATGGAGGAAAACAAAAATAAAAGGTGGAGAGGGAGTGTGTGTGTGAGAGAGAGAGGGAGGGAGAGAGAGAGTGTGTGTGTGTGTGTGTGTGTGTGTGTGTGTGTGGACACACCAGAACACAGATTACCTGCCAAATATTCAGCCAAAAAGAAAAAAAAAGTTGGAAATAAGAACTCGACAAATGCAAACCGGAAAGTTGACTTAAAAGTACAAAATCTGAGCCTGAAGTTTGAGTCTGAAACGAGCCGAAGCGGAGTCGCGCGTCTTACCATGAAACCAGCGGCCGTCCCGGGAAAAAGTGAGGATGAGTAGTGAGTGTGAGCCACCAGCTATCCCGTTCCTCTCCCTGCCTCCGTCTCTTCCTCTCTCTGTGTGACTCCGTCCCTCTCCTGACGTCCGCGCCGCTGCCTGTCCTCCCTCTCTCTCTCTCCTTCTCTTTCTTTCCTTCTCTGACTCCTCTGTACTCCGCCGCAGCCACGGAGGAACTGAGCCGAGCGCGTCAGAGTGTGTGTGTGTGTGTGTGTGTGTGTGTGTGTGTGTGTGTGTGTGTGTGAGCGAGAGAGAGCAATGTGGGAGAGAGAGAGAGAGTAAATGTGTGAGTGTGTGTGCCGGGGCCGGTGAGGGCTCAACTGTGCCGCTGAGATGCTCAGTGACACTGCGCTGCACACTTCCCCGGCACGGACACCCCTCCTCTGCTCGGGGCCGGGAGGTGGGGGCAGTGAGGAAGAGGAGGAGGAGGAAGGGGGAGTTAGCTGCGTGTCCCCCTGCCTCATTACCATGTGGGCTGCTGCGAGTGGCCGGCAGCAACTTGGTTCTCCTCCGCAACGAAAAAAAAAAAAAAACGGGGTTTCGCTTTTGCGACGCGCTGGGGCGCTGCGTTATTGGGGGCGCCACAAAAAAGTAATTATTTGTAGTCAGCATTTTCTGTATTTAACAGCTGTTTGTGCGTGTGTAAACGACGTGGCACCTCACACACACAGGTTTCTTCAGTTGTCATTAAAAACTCCGCAGCCTTTGTTTGATTTCCAGCAGTTCTAATGAAGCACTAATGGAAACAGCAGCAATCTGCCACCATCTCCGCGCTCCTCCTCCTCCTCTTCCTCCTCCTGCTGCTCCGTGGAGGCGCTCAGATTTTAATTAAGAAAAAAATGAGGAAGAGGTTCCATTTTAGCCAAATTGGTCCCCACAGCAGCAAAGGTGTGGGAATAAAATGAGGGATGGAGGAGTAGAAGGAGACAGACACGGAGAAAAAGACACACAGGAGGATAAAAGAAGAGGGGGGAAAAATTTCCTTTGACACAGCATCTCAAACAATGAAGACACCCTCCCTCATCTACAACCTTCTGCTCCTCCTTTCCCCACAATCAGGCCGTCATTAGAGAAATGACGGAGCCGGTTCGGGGTTCCACGGAGATGTCACCGTGATCTTTCCACGGCAGATCAGCAGCAGAGAGGGACAGACGGAGAACTTCTCTCCCCAGCTGCATTAAACGGCCTCTGATCTATAGAGTCACTTCAGATTTTGTGCTAAATTGCTGCAGACAGCTGCCTGGCTGTCTGTTAAAAGCCTTTTGTAGCAGCCACTAATGGCAGTGCAGAGTTAACCTTTGCTGAGATTATCACACCCGTCGTTCCGGCGACGTACACGGAGAGAAAAGTGCAGCATGTGTCTGAACGTCTTTTTGTCAAGTGTGTTTAATTTACATCTTAACTCTCTTTTCTCCTCCTGTCCGGTCTTCATTGCTTTTGTTCTCCTCTTGTCTGGAGATGCACCGATCGATCAATCGACCGCAGATCGGAATCGGACGATTTTCTCTTGATACCGTCAAATCAGGCTTTTCATGTAGCGCATTAAAAACTAGCGGTTTACAACGTTTCTCATCCCGGGACTCTCAAATTAACGGAACCCCAAACTAAATGAATATTTGCGGATTCAATTTGATTAATTACTTAGGTTTTAACATATTAAAAGGTCTATGCAATTAATACCTTTTAGAATTTTTTTTTCTTTTTACATACAAAGGTAGCAGACGGAGCTTCTTTTTTTGCCCGTAAATTTGACGCACAATTGACGTCCTAACAGCAACAGACGAAAAAGCCGCTTCTCTGATCTGATTGGACGCTAGGAAAGACTTTTGTTGTGTTCACGTTGTGCTAGGAGGAGTTAGCATATCAGCTATTTAAAGCTAAAATAGCATCTTAATGCTAAAGATGCTAAAGTAGAACAATGCTAACATTAGTGTAAACATTTCTAAAGATGTAAATTTTAAAGAGTCACATGAGACATTTGAAAGCTGAATAACACTTTGCACCAATCTGATGCAAAATGTTTGTTTATTCAACAATGTAGCAACAAAAAGGGTTTAGAATTGAAAATGTTGCTTAATTTGTTGTTTTTTAATAATTACAGACCCACCAATATATAAATATATACATATATTTGCATAAAATGCAGAACATTTAACATAATGAACAGATTTTTGCTCATTTTGTGCATCTCTGACTGAAAAACATAATTTTTCTTAACATTTTTAACATGTTGGATTTATGTTAATGTGGTCTTAAAGACATAATTTAAATGTTTAGAGTTGCTTGTGAACCATAAAACTGGAACATATTTGAGGTGTTTTGATGATTTTGACAAAATGTAATGTTTGTTACTGGTTTCTCAATTGGTGTCTGTATGTTGTTTTTATTACTTTTTATGTTTTTATGATCTAAAGCACTTTGAACTGCCTCGTTGCTGAAATGTGCTACACAAATAAATTTGACTGATAACTTTGATTTAAAACAAAAAGTTTATATAATAAGAACTCAAGTTTAAGATTTCCAATCACTTTCAGTTGATAATATTTCATCTAGCAGTTTATACTTTAGTGCACTTTTTAAAAATGGATCAGATGTTTTTTAATGTGCCCAATGATCAGATCTGTAGCCAGCTTTAGCCTCCATCTTTAGTGGAAGATGTCGCTGTGCAGCTTTGTACAGTTTTCTGTTTAATCCAGGAAAAAACGCATCTCTACTTTTATCTCCCATCTTATTTTATGACCTGTCAGCAGCCACCATCATAAAATACTTAATGTATCACCCCTTCGATGCGCAGCTTTACTCTTAACAACTTATTGAAAACATAATGCATGAGGCTCAGGCTAATTCTATTAAGTGACAATTTAGCCGCCAAGGTTGCTTTTTCCCCTCTCCAGACTTTTCCCCCGCTCCCTCTCCCTTCCCCTCAGCTGTAAATGTGCTAGTCTGTGGGTTTTTCAAGTGGCACTCAGTGTTTCAAGTCAAGCTGGTGGCTCAGCTTCTGACCCGGCTGCTTAATGGCTGTTATTTGTGGGAGGGAAGAGTGGACTCTGCCAATAGAGCTCACTCTTCCTTCTCATTTCTCTCACACTTTTTCCCCCTTTTTTCTCTCTTTGCCGCTTGCTGATAGCAGCTACTAGCGGGAAGAGGAGGAAAAAAAATTTGGAGTGGAAACAGAAAGATGAAAAATCTGTATTAGCTGCAGAAAAAAAGAGGATCCTAGAGATTCTCAGGCTCCTTTATTAAAACTATTATTGTGGAGGACTTGAGAATTCCCCGTGGGGCAGGGGTCCATGTCGAAGCCCATATAATTAACTAGAGGCTCAGCTACGGATCAATTACCAGACAAGCAAGTGATAGCTGAATCAATGGAAGATCATCAGGCTCGTTATCAGTGTTGCAACTCATTAGAGGAAAAGTGAGGTAGAGAAAGAGGGAGAGCAAAAAAGAAAAGAGGGAGGGTGAAGATGGAGGCAGGACTGGTGTGTGTGTGTGTGTTAGGGTGTGTGTGTTGCTCCTCGTTAGCCACCACTGGCTGGTGACAGAGGGGGGGATCTGGATGATAAGGGCAGGCCGCTCTGTAGCAACAGTCACTGAGGCTTGTACGGATCAATACCAATGTGTGCATGAGGTTAAAGCCCGGCCGCAGCATCCTGGATCTCCAGCGACTCCTGAAGCGGTCAGCAAGCGGATGTCAAGGAGAAAACGTTACGCAGCGCAGTAACTGGTCAGCAGAAAGACGACAAGACGTTTAAAAATATAAAGTAAATTTAACGAGTTGGGGATTTTCTGAAAAAAATGTAAAGTATTCCAGGTGAGAGTTTCATCTTTACTTTGAAGTTGTGTCATGAAAAAAAGATTTGGTTCATTTAGTGTTAGTTTTTTCTTTATGTTTAGAAAGACCTTTTTCACTTTTGCTTGAGATGATCTATTCATCGTTTCAGGATGTTTTTCCACCTGATAATCCAGCAGATTCAGTTTGATTCAGGACTAAAATTTAAACACTTGTTAGAGTTTTAGCCTTTGGTTCTCTTTCTATACTGAGTTGAACCAACCGAACTCTTTGAGCAACCTCTTCCCCTCCTCACCTGTGGGGGCGCCGCACCAAGAACCACTGAAGGAAACGACACAAAAACCTCTGAAGACATTGAGCGCCACTTCCTTTTTCACCAAATGGAAACAAAAGTGACGTGTCAGATTTCAGGGGTTGGAGGGTTTATCTTTTGTCTTTTGTAAAAGACCAGGAGTCATTTCTCCGTCTAGCGCTAGGCTAGCACATCTGCTTTGGTTGTATTTACCCAGAATGCCCTGCGCTGCGGTCCACTGCCTGCTTTTGGAGCAGTCTCTGGTCCGCTTGGCGTTCACATACACATTCTAACCGCAGCAGAGTTCACCTCAACCAAACTGAGTCTTAATTTTGTAGTAAATCAAACTCCAAACTTTACCCAACTTTTACTCAAGAAAAGCCGTGGAGGCCAACGCTTATCGATTAGCGCAAATGCATCAGAGCAAAGACTGACCAATGTCCTGCTCTTATTGCCGAGCTTAGACTAAAATATTCTTCTGACACAAAAAGGAAAACAATTAACCCAAAAAGTTATAACACATTCAAAAAGCCTTATGAGTGAAAAAAAATCTGCCAATGACACCAAAACTTTTTATCAATATTAAGGANTTATTGACTTGAAACAAGCTCCCATGTCTAGCTGAAAAGTTGCTTGTAAGTCAGTTTTGCACAATAAATTAGACAATACCTGGTAATATTTAGCATTAAATGCAGAACTTTTGACACAAGAAACAGATAATACAAAAACAGATTTTTGCTCACTGAATGTGGCATTTCTGACTGAAATACAGAATGGAATGCCTCATTTTGTTGATTTATTACATGTTGAACTCATGTTTACATGCATTTAAAACTTTTGAATTTAGAAAATAATAAAAAACGTCTAATCAGAAATCTAACCTGTAGTGGTTGTGACCTCCACATTTGCTCTGCATTTAGTAAAAATACTTTATCAGTTTGAAAAGTAATGTCCGAGCAATGCCACTTCCATTAAATCTAAA